CGTATCACAGCAATACTGGTAAGTTGGAGTCTGTACTGGATAAACTACAATATTGCTGCAGTCAGTGCAGTGCTGTCATAGCCACCCAGATCTTGACTGGCTTTTGCTATTCTTTTTATTGGACCACTTTGCCATTTGTAACACAGACACCAAGAAATAATTACTTTTTCTCCAAGATGGGTCATTCCCCTCAGTACTAAGTGTGGCGTGTTTTCCTTCTGCAGCAGACTTTGACAAAGCCTCTTTTCCCACTTCATTCCTCTCATCCCAAGCCTCACTCGGCTGTTGCCAGTTCGTGTTGTGTTAAGCTCGGAAGGGAAGTGAGTAGAAGTCTTCTAAAGCGGCAGGAGTGGATCTGTGTGTCGGAGACCCTCGGCTGGGGCTGGTGTCCCATTGTTTGGAGGGCAAGTCAACATTTATCTAATTACCGTCTGAGAATACATTTCCTGATGGCCTCATTGTGCTTTCCTACTTAACGCTTGGCAGTGTTTCTGTCACAGTGTTTGTAGGAGCTTTACTCGCTTCCTTTGATTTTAATTTACGGATCAGCCGTGCCCTCTCAAGGTTAAACCCACTTTGTCTCTCCCCTTCCAAATCCATTCTTCACATTGTTTAGAAATTTAGCAAATGACAGAAAGTCACATTCCAAGACAAATATGCAGCAGCTGTGAGGGGAGATTAACGAATCTTAATGTACTTGTTTGTAATGCTATTCTGGGGACACAAAGTTATCTTCCATACAGAACTACTGGCAAAAGAAGAAAACAAGCTATTGAGGCAGCAAGGTCTGAAGTAGATAAAGCTTGTGTTGGGAAAAAAAAAAAAAGAAAGAATCTGGTCCTAATTATTTTTAGATGAGTTCATCAAATTACAATTAGCATATATAGCTTCCTCTCCTGCTTGGCAGACACAAATCTGACTTTCTGACTTGCTCCATTCTAAAATGAACTGTAGTCTCTCTTGGGTGCCCGTTCCTGGGAATGCTTGGGCAGCAAACTGTATTTCCTCAACCATTTCTCCATTTCTGTTTCTTTTGAACTCACAGTCACSCTTTCTGATATTGGTGAGAGCCAACTTTAACTCGTCCTTGTTTCTTATGCTGAGACTGACCCAAGTTCTGCTGCCTCTTTCTCTGCRTGTTCTCTCTTGTGTCTATTGCTCAGAAAACTCTGGCCTGGCCTACTTAGGCAGCCATGAGTTTCTTCCTGGCCTGCCAGCCACCTACRTGATTTTCTGCAACAACTTCTATATGGAGCTGCTCAGAATTACCAGTTTCCTTGATTGTTTCATTATATAGGAGATCCCTGCTCCTGTCCTGTGACCGATCCAATGTGAACTTCTAGGCCATTGATTCCCTGTTCCTATTTCACCTCCTTGTCTGCTTGTATGTGCTTCCTTTAACCCCCTTTTYGCAGTATTATCTCAGCTTCTTAATATCCTGTCTTTTCCATGCTGTCTTTCAGTTCTTTGCTTACACAAACTCTTTTTGAGATGACTCACCAGATCTTCACAAGCTCCGTTTTTCAGCTCCAAGCCGAGCTAATATCACTGAGGACAGCAGGAAGCTGGTGAGCTAAGAGCTGACATATTCTGTCCATTTTTTTTYCCACATCCCCTCACAATTTTATGAAAAGCTGCTGTTAGAGAGACTGAAAAATCTGGGGGAAAGCAGAACTTTGAGTTGCTAGAATGAAAAAAATCATGTTTTCTGAAACAAAAAATTTGACGCTTAATATGAAAAAAATATTTTTTTATAGGAAAACTTGTATTTATTTTTAAGTCAGAGCAGATAACTTTTTAAACCAACTTCAAATGCTTCACAAGACATTAACAACCATTTTTAGTATTGCATTCCTTATATATGGGCTCTCCCCTTTGTGCTCCTTATTTGGCTGTATCTCTCTCTGAGTTATGAATTAACCAGGCCAGAGGCAAATACACCGTGCCAGGGATATCCTGGAATTTATTGAAATACAAATAATCCTTGTGATGGTTAATACTTGGCAAAATGTGTAAGGACATGTTTGAAGCTGAAGGGCTCATAGTTGAGAGACAGGGATGGAACTGAAGGTCTCCTACATAACAGAGAATTTGAGTGTTGATGTTACTTAATCARTCTGGATAATTTTAATGCTGAAGCTTCATGCAGTGTGGAGGTGAATGGCACATAGCATTGCTCTGTTTTCCAGGCATGGGGGAGGAAATAGGGAAACCTCAGCCTTGAGTTGCACACAGAAGGCAATGTCAACTCTGGTACAAGAGGGAATTTAAATTTTCTATGAAAAATCACTGGTGTTTTTAGATCAGTGACAAGAGTTTGACTTTTCCCCTTGATGTCCCTATAGTGTGATCTGATTTTGGACCTATTGCCTTCTTTTCTCATATCCTCGTTGTTCCAGTGGGAGAAAAGGAGTCATGACATGTTTTGGAGATCAGCTCTATTTATTGGGACTTTCCAGGAATGCTGTGCTTTTCCCTGATTTTGCTTGATTTTAGTAGCAAACAAAATGTGGCACAGCTCAAGAGACTCTGGTGAGCACTTCTTTTCCAGTGTCCTTCTGGTGGGTCCTCACTCAGGGCTCAAGAACTTTTCTACCAGGAAGGCTCTGTGAATAATGATGAGCAAGAATATTCCTCCCCCACCTGCTTGATTTTGGTGTTTTCATGTTTTTTTTTTCTTTTTTTTTTTTTTTAGGAAAAATTGTATTTCTCACTTCTTCGTTCCTCCTCTCACACAATAAAGTGTGAGCCTTGATATGGATCTGCTGTGCTGCCACATGAACAATACATGGTTAAAACAATAAAACTTTGGGGAGAGAAAAAGGGGAGAGAAGGGGAAGAAGTAAGGCTATGATCTGGTTGGGTGGTACTGGCTCAGACACCATCATCCCATAAGCCCAGGTTAGACTCTATTGCTGTGAACCATCTCTTGTGTATACAAAATGTCCAGAGATTTCACATGAGGTTTCAACAGAATTGCTTCCCTTCTCCACTGCTTCCAAGCACCATTTCCTAATGAAGACAGCAGAAGCACAACTCAGAGGTAATGTCTGTGATAAGTTGGCGTGTGTGCATGTCACCTGTGTCATTTACTGACCAGGACCATATAGTAAGAGGTAAAACAAACAGGCATTGCTTAAATCTGGAAAGTAAAGTAAAACAAGCATTTTGTGATACTGTGACCTGATACTGTGACCATAGTTTTGCTCTGGACCTTGGAAGTGAATCAAGGGCCCTGTTTCCTAGGCCATACTGCAGTAGGACTGAACACAACTCACCCAAAATATGCATTTGATTTTCAAAAGGTAAATTAACTGATGAAAGTCTTTGTGTGTGTGTGTGACTTCATATTCTGGACCTCATACATACATGTTTGTTTTTTTTTTTTTTTCTCAACTTTTGTTGGATGAAATTTGTTCTTCAATGTTTTCGATTTTCAGGGCTGGATTGTATCACTGTGACTTTGTTTTTTAAACAGCAGCATCCTGAAGGGTCTGTAGTCACTGGCACTTATTTTGCCTTTCCTTGGTGTGCCTGGGACTTGGCGGATGGAGCAATGGGAAATCATGGTACAGCTGGGAGCTGGTGTCTGGACAGTGAGGGACCTGGCTTCTGTGTGAGCATATGGCTGCACTTCTCAGTCTGCTTGTGTTTCATGGTCTTGCTGCCAGTAAGACCTTTACAATACTAAGGTTCCTCAGCCACCTTCTGTCCTATAAAGAGTTGAAGGTTTTATTTGCATGGTGAAGGCAATGGACATGATTTCCAGAGTTCCTTTGCACAGTGCTGTTTACTTACGTGACAGCTGCCTGACTAGTCAAGAAAATTTCTCCTTTCTTTGCAAACTCCCACCTCCTGCCTCCATCCTTGCCCTCGCTTGCACAGAGCAGCTGAAAAAAGAAGGTCTTATGCAGTTAACATAAATGCAGGGTTTTGTTCACACAAATATTTGCAAAGCCTTCCTTCAGGGTGTTCACTCATGGCTTGCTAAGTAGGGGGTGATGATTATTTCCGTGCCAGCCTACAATCTTCTTGCAAAGGTGTTGCAATTTCACTATGGAAAAGAAGATCTGTTTTGCTCCAAAATGTTCAATATTTCACTCAAATTATGTCACTCACCAAGACACTCCTTTTGTTTCAGGGATTGTGTGATGAAACTCTACCCTTTCAGCTAACCGCTATTGGAAAGGAGAGGCTTGATTTTTGAGTGAATGTCTTTGATGTCTTGGGTAGTTTGAGGAAGCATCTGTCTGTATCTTGCCTTGACTGACAAGACCCTTTCTATAAATGTGAGCRATTAAGTAGCCCAGTAGCAGCTGCTAAGGAAGGAGATTTGCTGAGCACAAACTTGTGTTGGTCTGCTCCTATTCCTCTGGCTCTGAAACAYCACCTGCAACTTTAACTGCAAAAGGTGATCTGACTCTGACACATTAGGTGAGTGTACATCAGTTTGCTCTGTCATGGTTCCTGCTCGTGAATAATGCAGTGGGTTTTGCTAAAGTGGTAAATGTTCGATTTGCTCTGCAGTTTGTCTCCTTTGGTCTCAAATATCTGCTATTGAAAATGGGAATTTTAATCTACTCTGAAGCTTATGTATAAACATGTGCTTATTTAATCATGTGTGAGACTGTAGTATATGCATGGCCATATGTGAAGGGCTTACTGTAGCAAACCTCCACGTACTGATCCAAAACTCTGCTTTAGCAATTTTAAGTGTTTGGGGTAATAGGAGCCTAGAGGAACGAACATCAGTCATCCAAAAAGAAGGAGCAAGTTCATCTGACTTAAATCTATCAGCTGAGGACACAACCCAAAGCTCAAAAGAGTGTGTGCCAAATTCAGTAGCTGATCTTCCCTCCAAGTTAAACATCAAGTCAGAATTTTGTAGGTGAACATTTTTAAATGCAGTGCAAGTGTGTGAAGTGTAGAATGATCTTGTGGCTTTGGGCTTGAGCTGCTCTCCATTTTTTTTTTAACAGAGAAAGCTGTACCAGAGACACTGCTAACCCTCTTCACCAAAGTTTTAAAACAAAAAGACAGCAAGTATCAGAGGGACTTGGCTAGTGGTGTGTGGGCTTGGAAGTATGAGAAATTAAAACCCTTTCTGGTTCCCTTGGCCATGTCCTTTCTTGTCTACCTAGCTCTGTTCAGGGCTTAGCAGCTATGGCTGGGTCTGAGCTAGGAGGGTTGTGTGTGACAGAGGGAAACTTGAGGTTGCTTCAGCTCTCCAGCTGCAGCKCTAGGGGTGACCAGTCAAGGACTCTGAGGGTTGGAAATGGTAATTCAAGTGTCAAAATCAGTCTTTGGGRGTGTTTGTCTTTCTCCAGAGGACAACTTGGAGTATAAAATCAACGAAAACTGGCTCCTGACTTAGGCTAAAATGTAAGCAGGATAAATTCAGGACTAGAGGCYGTCATCGAAGTACGTGTGACATCTGCGGGCCTAACCCTGCTAAGTGGATGGAGCTGCAGCTCAGCTGCTTGCTCCACATGTGACAAGAGAGGGAATCTGCCAGATCCCTACTAGGATGTGTGGACAGAGCCCTCCTGGCTGTCACTGCCAGATCAGACCTGCCAGTGACCTACACTGACTAGATGTGTGTCCCCGGGGAGGGCAAGTAAAGCCTCTTGCTCTGGTACAAGCTCAGAACAGCTTAGTGGGCCTGGAGAAGGGCACTTGTGTGTAGCTGGTGGCTTTACTGCCYGGTGGGGATATCTTGCAGGACGCTGCTTTCTCTTGCAGACCTTTCCACTAAGCCTCTGTCCTGTGGGGAGTTAGATGATCCCTCATTCCCACAAGTGCCCCTCTTGTGGACAAAGACGGGCCCCCTCTCACAGTTTCCTCGCTTGCCTCCGCTCTGCCTCAGGATGAAGCTCCAGCACGTGGCCCTGGGCTCTCTGTCGCTCCTGCTGCTCGTGGGCTGCCTCGGCGGCCTCAAGCCCTCCGGCATCAACCTGCGCACCTTCGTGGGCTGTGCYGTGCGGGAGTTCACCTTCCTGGCCAAGAAACCCGGCTGCCGGGCGCTGCGCGTCACCACGGACGCGTGCTGGGGCCGCTGCCACACGTGGGAGGTGAGCGTGGCGTGGCGGGGAGGGCGGCCCACTGGCATGGGCTCCTCTGGGGGAGATATCCCTTAAACCTGGCGCCTCCCTACAAAGCAGCGGGGAACGTGGCCCCACGGGGCCACCATGACCCCCATGGGGCCACCATGACCACCAAGAGAAGGTGGCTCTGCTCCTGGAGGAGCTGTGGTGGCTTTCTGAGGATGAAGACAAGGGCCATATCCCCCTCAGTCACCACCTCATGGCCATCGCAGTCAGGCACTTTGCTGTGCATTGTTCCCTTCTCCCATCTGCTGTCTCAGAGAGATGAGCACCATGTGACAATATTAATGAAGCACTTATGTAATACTCCTATTGTGCAATTTGAAAGCCTCTTACAGCTTAAACACTTAAAGAGAAAAGGCCTTTATTGCTTTACTGGAAGAAAATTCCCTTGAGATTAAGATGGAGTTCCCAATTGATGGGTAATATATTTTGTTCCGAAAAGCAAATCCCAAAGATAATGTCTGATTTCTAATTTAGTCCTGTTTTAAATCACAGYCCTGTGTAAACACAAAAGAGCTAGTTTGGGAGCTTGGAGCGGGAGCAAGAGAGAACGTAAGTCAGTCTGCACACATTTCAGTGAACAAATTTCTGCCTAGCTTCACCTTTCTTCCACTCAACTGCTCAAAGGACCTGACCCAAATCAATGGATTCAGGGAATCTTCCAGCRACTCCAGAGGGATTTTGTCCACATAAAGGCAAGGGCCCTCTGCAGCTGGAGGAGCCAGGGCCCATGTGCTGATTCTCACCTTCCTCTTTCACTGCTTTAGTGGGCAAAGACCTGGCTGCCACATGTCCCCTGTTGAATAAGGGTCCTTCAAGGGACCACTTTGCTGCCCCATGGCACATGCTCCCTGAACAGCTCAGCACCATCCCTTACTGTACTGCAAATACCACTGGGAGGTCAACTAGCTAAATGCATCTTTTTGGAGGCTCAAACAGCTTCTAAAAAGGACTGTGATATGTGTGAGTGGAGGGATTGATAAGAGGAAGGGTGTCTGAATGTCTCCCTGCTAGGATATTGCCTCTACTATTTTATTTTCTTCCACCCTCATTCTCTGTTCCTAGGGTGAGTTCTTCATGTGGATGGAAAAAAAATTAAAATACCTCCTGGCTGTGTTAGCTTATGCTCTTTCCATCTGAACAAGGGAAGGGATTATAGCGGCTCCCATTCCTACCTGTCTTGAACCTCTTTGGACTTTCTGGAAAAAAAAATGGGGCTTTTGTCAAGAAAAAACTCACTTTTTTTCCTCAAAATATTGCTACCGTTACAATGCATGGGAGTGTGACTTTCAGAGCCTTCAGGGTCCCATCCTTTCCTGCTGCCTAAGGTCAGACTGCAGCCGTCTCTGCTACTTGTGTGTGTTGCTGGTAGGACGTGCAGTCTGACTGGGAAGACTGGCCTGGCTGAGCCCCCATCACCATTTAGCACCTGGAGGCACCTCTTGTCTTAATGGCAGCTTGTGCAAGCAGAAGGGTTTCCAGCTGCAAGCATTTTCTTTGATGAGAAATCAATGCTTTTGGAAGGAAGCAGCTGCTTTTGGCAAGCATGTGCATTTGGTTGAAACACTATTATTATGCTAAAACCCAGCTTTTTGGATAAGCCCTTATTTTCCTTCAGGCGGCCTTAATGGGAACCTTAGATGAGCACGCATATGCACATCCACCCACTCCTCTGATGGCAGCATCCCAAAAACCAGGTGTTGAAGGGTGCAACCTAAGAATTATTTCCATAGTCCTTTCTATCTTCATCCAGTGGCTCCTCTATTTACTCTGAATCCCTTTGAAGGTACTGAGACTCTGGATGCTTTTTCTTGCTTCTTGCCTAATGCCGCATTTCTCTGCAGAAACCAGTGCTGGAACCGCCTTACATTGAGGCTTACCATCGTGTCTGCACCTACAACGAGACCAAGACGGTGACAGTGAAGCTGCCCAGATGTGCCCCCAACGTGGACCCGTTTTACACCTACCCAGTTGCCATTCGCTGCGACTGTGATGTCTGTTCCACGGCTACTACTGAATGCGAGACTGCCTGAGCTCTCCTTTCCCAGGTCTGGCTAGGAGGGGTCAAATTCTTCCCTGGTTTTATACCCCTGCCATCTCTGGCATTCCAGGGGTTGTAAACCAGGCCAGAATTTGATCTGTATATCTAACATTCCTAATCACTGACTTTTGGGGGCATACRAGGCTTAAATTGCCTCTCCCCATCCTGCTGCTTAAAGTATGTAGAGATGTAGTGTGCRGCCTTGCAACAGCAAATCCTATGGAAAAAATAATTGGTGCAGTTTCCCTTCCCTACAGGTATTTTGTAGTATGCAACTTGTCTTTCTGCAGAAGAGGAAACTTAGTACGAAGGGATTATGATCTGTGTAACAACCTCTTTATCCATTTCTGCTTTTCACACCTTTCCAGGAATGTGAAAGAAAAAAAGCGATGTTCTCCATGCCCTATCACTTCTTCTTAGACTGAGGTCTGTCAGGAGTAGCTGTCAAAGAAAAGGCCTTAAGGCCAATGAAGTGGAAACTGGGTGTTGAAATTACAGCCTTGAAATTAGGGAGAATGCAACAAAAGCCTTGACTCAGCAAGGTGTGTAAGCTGGCAATCAAGGGTTTTACTTAGTATTTGTGGAGTCACAGTTAAGCATGTATTTCAGTGATTTAATTGGAGCTATTAAACTGAAAAAAAATCTTGTCTTGCAAGAGATTTTTTTTTTTTTAAAGAAAATGTGATAAATCTGTAAAATCAATCATCCTTCATCTGTCCAGGGATAAGAGAGGGTCTGATTCATGGAAAATGAGAGACTCTGCACAGCCTAGGGAGGCTCCCTTGACCATTTCCAGAACTAAACAGGTGATAAACCCAAAATACATTGGTCATGGATGGGCTTTAGTGAGACCTGGCTGCTGTGGCAGGAAAAAGGGGCCATGTAGGGCATTCCCATGCTTTCCTGTGCCTCTCAGCTYTGTGAAGGCCTGCTCCTCTGAAGGAAACATGCATGGAGAGCCATGAAAGAGTCAGGAATGCCCTCAGGAGAGCTAGGGAGTTGTGACTTTGATACCTCCAAATGTGGACAATGTGGGTGGGACAGATACTGGACAGGGAAGACAGCCAGTCATGCTGAAGGATGGTTTGCACCTTCCCAGACCTACTGTTAATAAACTGGGGAACACTTGGGCGCTGCTATGACAGTCCTCCAGTGACTACAACCCCTAAGTGCCTTGTCCTCCCATTCCCAGATGGAAAAGGTCAGATCTCTGTTCATCCCTGAATAATACGGGAATTTGGGGAAATCATGAAAAATTTGCCAGGTAGCCTATAACACAAAGACAACTTCTCAGATAGCTGTGAGGATCCCTGCTCTGAATAATATCAGCACCTGCATTCCCATCTGGTTAAGTGCCTTTCTTTCTGAAGTAATCTCCTGCATTTCCAGGTGAAATTATATCCCTGAAATTTCTGTGAGCATCCTGTCCTCTATAAGACAATTTTTTTTTTCTTGTAAACTGTAAAATACTMATTTCTGTAACTTTTTTTTTTGTCTGTGGAATTGCAAAAGCCACACTATCTGGGTAAAAAACAGGTGATTTTATATGCCTGCCTGCTGAAACTCCTGAATAGAGAATGTTGTGTTAAACAGCAGCAGTAGCAGTTTTCTGCTGATGTTGATGTTAAGAGCCTTTTCAAACATACTTGCATTTTGTATTGGGTTGCATCTCACAATCTCTCCAGTCTTGTTATTGTTCTTGCATCACAACTATCATATGAGATCTACAAATTATTTTCTGTATCCTTAATAAATGCAAAAATTGTAGTATGAGAGCAGTTTAAACAATGAGTCCCTCTTGTTAGAGGCTTCTCACTTGGAATATGTATAAGTTGCTACAAACTCTGTCCCAGAGATGTGAACACCTGCAAAATATCTCCCCGATGCTGCTGTGAAGTCATTTCCTTTGCTGAATTTCTCTCACAGAGCTTGACTGTGCTGCAGCCCCAGGACTAGGATGAGGGTTAGAAAGGGGCAAACTTCCTTCCTTTGCAGCCAGCAGGAAATAAGGACTGTTCCTGGGTATCGAAGGCAGCAGAAACTTGTCCAATGTTTAAAAGAAAACACTCCTGGGTGGAAAGGAAGGTTTTGACTGAAGTGGTGACAGCCAGATAGGGTCAGTGCAGGGGGAGTGGGAAGAAGGTACTGCCTGGAACCAAGCTGATATTTCTAGATGATGTTTTAAGGAGMAAAGCAAAAGTGAAGGTGGAAGCTGTTTGTGTGCTGTAGGTGACAGAAGCACTGCTAGTGCCAGGGACCACCAGCCCAGTTCTCTAGAATATCTCTCTTCATCGAGCAAGTAGGGCACCCTGCATTAAGTTTCAGGAGCCAGCTTAATTCTTGCTGYTAATAGCTCCAAATCTGGGCTCTTTCAGAAGCTTTTACCCTGCAGAGTCACAGTGTTACCTTCCCACCAATTTCAGCACTTCAAGTCAAGTCTTCTGGCTTCTGCATTCTTTTATAGTACAGCTCTGATGTTATGTCCAAGTCAAAATTTGTGGGCAATCAAAATAGCCTATATGGTCCACAGGGTGAGAAGACCCTTTCCGATGCTGCCTTCATCTCCTCAGGGGGGCCTTAGATCTCTTCAAAGCCATTGATTTAAATCCCTCCTCTTCTTCCCACCTGTCTGTGGCAATTGCCCTAAATTGATCAGACAAAAAGCAGCAGTCAAAATCCTCATAAATTGCAGCTTCTTCAAAGTGCAGTTTAATATGATTCCACAACCCCAAACCAAAGAAATTTCACTCTAGATTTATAAAGAGTACATGACTTCTCTGGGAGAACTGTCTTTGCAAAGCAGGGCCAGAAAGGCTCTGCCTTCTTCACAAAGCTTTGGTGTTGAACCATTCACAGATGACTAGTGGCAAAGCAGTGGATTTCTTCACGCCTCTCTCTTCTGAACACTGGACAYGGTGATGGGGCTTTGCTCCTGCTGGAGATCCGCTGGTCTTGAGGTTCAACTGCCCCTGCTCCCTTGTAGCAGATGCTGCATCCARCCAGGATGGCTGATTTCCAGTCAGAAATCAGCCAGGAGGATATTTCACCTCGTCTTCAAAGGCAAAAAACTCGCAGCAAGAGGGAGGGCAGGAAGAGGCTCCAGACGAATGTTTCCTGCCTTGGCTGCCTTGTGTTCTGGAGGACGGATGGGGCAGGCAGCTCCCTCCTGTTCTCATTGTGCACAGAAAAACGTAGGAACTGTCACCCTGGCTCCGAGCAAAGAGCCCTCTAGCCCAATATCCTGTCCCAAACAGTGGCCAGTAGCGGGTGCTCAAGGAAATGTGTAAGCACCGGAGCCTGTGCAGAGGTGTCCTTCCCAAATTATACCACCCAGCTTTAGCAGGCAGCAGATTAGGGACTATCTGCCCTGGAGGATGTACTTGACACCTAGTTATGAAACACTGACATACCTGTCGTTCACACAGCTGCCTCCAGGACATGATGTGACCTTAGTAATTCTGGTGACTATTGCCAGCTTCCTCTGGGAGTAGGTAAAGAAAATGTATCCTAGGCCACATGCCCTGAGCTTTTGAATCGTCCTGATTATAGTAGCTGGTCATTTGGGCTGCGATACTTTTGCTTTTTATAGGAATAGACCCTTGCAGCCCTTTGCCTTTGCCCTGAGTGTGAGTTCCCCTAGGAGAGGCTGCCTCAGCCTGTAGARGTTCATGAGGTGGGGAGGCCTGGCAAGTCTGAGGAGAGTCTCTTTATCTGATGAAATTTGCTTTAGCCCGGTAACTACTAGGGGATTTCTTCACCGATGATGGGATTTATGGTCTTAATTTGAAGAGCAGGCTAGCTGGTCTAGACATTTGCTTCTGGTCTGGAAATCAATGGAAAGGAAAAGCTGGGTAACAAAAGCAGCAGCCTTTTCCTTTTTCTACATCTACATCTTGGCACTGAATCCCTGGAGGAGCAGGACTGACCATGGTCTTGACTCCAGTCCAGCCCTTAAGGGCTTTCTTTCCTAGTCTCATTTCTTCAGCCCTTTATGCATTTCATTTCCTCTTCAGCCTCCCCTGCTCTGTCTATTGGGATGGAGGTTACAAAACTCCTCATCTTCCTCATTATCAGTGTTTGCTGGGAAGTATTATTACCCATGTGTTAGGTTTGTCAGTGAGCAACAACTACCCTCAAGCCTCCTAGTGCTTGAGCTAGTGCTTTCCCTAGGTGCTTTATCAGGAGAGCTCCAGCATCTCCCAGTACCTCTCAAACTCTCTCTCTCCAAAAGACTTCAAAAATTCACTCTGGAGAGAAAAATTTCCTTTCATGGTGCTATGATATCACAGTGGAGACCTCAAACACTAATTCTAAGTACCTTTATTAAAAAAAATAGTAATATTGTGTCTGAAGGAGCAATGAACCAACTATCTTAACACTKTTGGAGAATGAGAGGCTAAAAACCACCCTGCATTGCTCGGGGGACACTGAAAGGTGCTGGTGCTTCCCAGCCACTCTGAAGCAATCCTATGTGTGTGAGCTTGTATATCCCACCCAAAATATCCTATAAGATGTAAGTGACTCACATCTGGAAAAATCAATAGAGCAGCACACCTTCTCCAAATGATGCTGTCAAAATACTTAGTAACACATTTATTTTGTTAAAACAAACTATGTACAATAGAGGATATTAATGTGCAGTTATAATATACAATAATTACATGTTTAAAAGAGGATAAGCAAATGAGTACAGAATCATGTGCTGTAAATAGAAAACTAATACTGTTTACGTGTTTTTTTTTTTAATAGCAAAACGTAATTGCTGGAAAACTGCATTTCCGTGGTTTGAAATTTTATTGCTTTGATGTGAATTTTGAAGATTTGGTTTAACTTTGCAAAAAATAATATGCCATTCAAAGGTCAGGCATAACTTTCTAGTACTATTCCTTTGGTTTAACCAGCCCCATATTCCAGAAATATTGCACGTTAAATTTTTTACGAGAGAAAAATTCAGTTGTTCTTGTGGAGTGAAGAAAAAGAGTCTTTTTTTTAACCTGCTAAAAACTGTTAAGTCCTGGTTTGTGCTGAGGTCAA